AAGAAACAAATATTATAATTAACATTTTATATGGTAGATGTATATAATTAAAATATAACTGTGTTTCACAAGCTTGTTCGTTATCAGAGATAAAACGTTTTAATTAAGAAAGCAGTTATATTTGGTAGCTTAATATTATATATTAGAGAACGAGATTTAATGACAGAAATATTTGGTTTGATAGCATTTTTGTAAAGTTTACAGTTCTATGATTTAGAAAAGTTTTCAATGCCTGCAAAGATATATACATGTACCTATTTTTCTGCTTAGTAACACGAGAATTATACATGTATAAATGTAACGAATTCCAAAGTTTTATCAGTTATAGCCTTCATCTATGATACAGTGTAATTTCTTGACCAATACTGTTTCAAAAAGCACCCCTTTGTAATTATAAACACATTGGAAGAAGGACGTACGAAGCCGACATTTACTTTCAGACAATTAATCGGGTATTTGGCAGGTGTGACAGCATTTATCAATTAACAATAAGCATTAAGCAGTCGCCTGTCAGTAAGCAGTAGGCAGTTGACAGTAAGCAGTTGACAGTAGGCAGTTGATAGTAAACAGTAGGCTGTCGTTTATGGAATTCTGTACTATTTAGAGAAGATAATGTGTAAGCGACTGTATAGCTCAGTCGGTAGAGTCGCGACACGGTATTCCGACGGTCCCGGGTTCGAGTCCCGGTCAGGCGGCACATTTTTCTCACCCTGTGACATATGTACCAACAACTCTTTCTATGTAACAACACCTCCTCTAAATACCAACAACTTTTCATTGAACAAAATGTACCAGCAACTTTGATAAAAACAAACAACAGAGAACAACTAGATGTAAATTGAACTTTAATAGAAATCATAGAAAGTACAAGTTTATTTACAGCACACACAAACTGCTTGAATATTTTAAATATTTACACACTATTATATACATGTATATACAAATTTAAAAGGCATTGTTTGATTGACACTAGTGCGTTTTCTTACTGGAAATAATCAAGATTGTGTACGAAGTGTGAAGCATTCGAGAGGTGTTCATTAAGTAAAAGGAACACCCCTTTGTACTTTGTATATCAATGACAAAGATATTGTTGATTTTTTATCAGTATTAAGTTTTTATTTTTTTTATCTATTTTATCATTTTTCAAAACATGAAAACATATGCACGTAGACAACTAAGCACTTGAAATAAGAATGTGAAAAAGGTATGCTATAGATGCATAAAACAAGTGCAAGAAATAAGCATGTGAAATAGGTTTGCTATTGATATATAAAACAAGTTCAAGAAATAAGTATGTAAAAAAAGAATGCTATTCATGTATAAAACAAGTGCAGGAAATAATCATGTGAAATAAATATGCTATGGATGTATAAAACAAGCGCATAAAACATGAAATAAGTAAAAGAAGTAAGATTGTCAAAATATGTGACATAAGAATGTGAAATTAATACGTGGAATAAGTATGTTAATCATGTATTGAAGTATGCGGAATAATAATGTGGTATAAGAAATATGAAATAAGTTTGTGAAAATTAATTATTCGACATGTATATTGAAGTATGTGGAATTAGAATGTGGAGTACATTTTCCATTGTAGGAAGTACGTGAAATAAGTATGTGAAGTTTGTATTGTTGTAAAGGGAATAAGAGTGTGCAATACGGATGTGAAATAATTACATGTACATGAAATATTTATTGAAATATGTGGAATAAGAATGAGAAAAAGGGATGTGAAATAAGAATGTGAAAATTCTTGTTCTGAAAACATATGTAGTTTCTATTATTATGTCTCCCCCACCTCGGGGGGAGACATATTGTTTTTGCCCTGTCCGTCCGTCCGTCCGTCCGTCAGTCCGTCCGTCCGTCAGTCAGTCCGTCCGTCCATTCTTCGTTTCCGGACGATAACTAGAGTTCCTTTTGACCTACATCCCTCAAACTTCATAGGATGATTGGTCTTATAGAGCTGATGATCCCTATTGTTTTTGGGGTCAGTAGGTCAAAGGTCAAGGTCACACTGACCGTTGGTCAATTTCTCGTTTCCGGATGATAACTAGAGTTCCTTTAGACCTACAGACCTCAAACTTCATAGGATGATTGGTCTTATTGAGCAGATGATCCCTATTGTTTTTGGGGTCAGTAGTTCAAAGGTCAAGGTCACAGTGACCGTTGGTCAATTTCTCGTTTCCGGATGATAACTAGAGTTCCTTTTGACCTACAGCCCTCAAACTTCATAGGATGATTGGTCTTATAGAGCTGATGATCCCTATTGTTTTTGGGGTCAGTAGGTCAAAGGTCAAGGTCACAGTGACCGTTGGTCAATTTCTCGTTTCCGGATGATAACTAGAGTTCCTTTTGACCTACAGCCCTCAAACTTCATAGGATGATTGGTCTTATAGAGCAGATGATCCCTATTGTTTTTGGGGTCAGTAGGTCAAAGGTCAAGGTCACAGTGACCGTTGGTCAATTTCTCGTTTCCGGATGATAACTAGAGTTCCTTTTGACCTTAGGCCCTCAAACTTCATAGGATGATTGGTCTTATAGAGCTGATGATCCCTATTGTTTTTGGGGTCAGTAGGTCAAAGGTCAAGGTCACACTGACCGTTGGTCAATTTCTCGTTTCCGGATGATAACTAGAGTTCCTTTAGACCTACAGACCTCAAACTTCATAGGATGATTGGTCTTATTGAGCAGATGATCCCTATTGTTTTTGGGGTCAGTAGTTCAAAGGTCAAGGTCACAGTGACCGTTGGTCAATTTCTCGTTTCCGGATGATAACTAGAGTTCCTTTTGACCTACAGCCCTCAAACTTCATAGGATGATTGGTCTTATAGAGCTGATGATCCCTATTGTTTTTGGGGTCAGTAGGTCAAAGGTCAAGGTCACAGTGACCGTTGGTCAATTTCTCGTTTCCTGATGATAACTAGAGTTCCTTTTGACCTACAGCCCTCAAACTTCATAGGATGATTGGTCTTATAGAGCAGATGATCCCTATTGTTTTTGGGGTCAGTAGGTCAAAGGTCAAGGTCACAGTGCAGTGGGGGAGACATGCGCTTTTTTACAAAAGCATCCTCTAGTTAATTTTGAAATTGAAACGCGCGGTATACCGACAAAATACATAGAAGAAATAGAAAAAACTATGAGCGATTTTCTTTGGGACAATAAGCGACCGTTAGTTTCAAAAAGCACAATTCTCCTTGACCTGAAAGACGGAGGCCTTAACTATTGTAATATTTCAAATATTCAAGCCAGTCTGGATGTTAAAACAATATACAAAATTATACACTCTGACATACAGAACTGGAACGCAATAGGAAAATATTTTTTACAAAAATATGATACTAATGGAGAAGATAAAATTGATTATTTTCTATGTAAATGTTCCTCATTAGAAAATTTACCTTTCAAATTGAACATAAGTACGTTTTACAAATCCGCTCTCGAAAATTGGTGTCGGTTTAAAGCGAAGTTTAAGCCAAAGTCTCTGTCCGATGTAAAAGATATATTTCTTTTTTGTAACTCTGAAATTCGTTTTCGCAAGAAAACACTTTACTTCAATTCATTTGTTAAAAGTAATATATTGTTTTTAAAAGATATTTGGGACTTTGAAAATAATAATTTTATTAGCATAGACACTCTTTTAAGGAAATTAAAATGTAAGCGAAACTGGATTGCCGAATGGCATATTCTCAAATCGAGCATTCCTAAAATGTATATAACTGCTTTAAAAGAACATCATTATGAAACAGTGTCGAATTACACTCACTTAGACGATATTGTCTTAACGAGCAAGACGCAAACAAAAATATTGCCTGAAAATATTAAAATAAAACAAATTTCTCATATATGGAATCAAAAGACTGGTAAATTGAAAAGTGAAAGTAAATGGGAAACCTTACTTAATATGGAGTTACCATGGAGTAAAATATGGTGCCACGTTTATGATTCTTTTTCTTCATGCAAAGCTGTACAATTTCAGTGGAAATTTTTACACAATGTTATTTATACAGAACACAAGCTGTCTCTTATGAATTTATCTGACGGTAAATGTTGTATATGTAAATCTCACAGAGAAACTTTGTTTCATCTCTTTTGGGAATGTGATTTTTCTAAGAATGTTTGGACATATGTAATTCAAAAACTTAAGTCCGCTAAAATTTTGGAAAATGATTTTTCAAATTTCCAATCTACTGCACTTTTTGGATCTTTTGAACACGCAATTAATGATAAATTGATCAATACTGTTATATTCGAAACCAAATGGGCAATTTGGAAATATCGTAACAATTGTAAGCATAATTATTCATATCAACCAATACCTATTTTGTTAAGAAATTTGTTCAATGATATAAAATACCAATTTGAATACAAATGTAGAAATAAAGACGATTCAGTGACAGAATTTTTAAAATATTTGTAATTTGTATGAATATTACCTTTAATGTATGGGACGCAACTCAATTGAAATTATAGATTTAATTCATAAAGAGTTAACTCGCTTTTCAACCTTGTCATTTTTCGTTTTTCGGACAAGTAAATGATACCTTTGCGAATTGTATATTTTTCACATTATCTATACTGCTTCTTATTTTGTAAGAAATCAAATATATATATTATTGTAAGGCTGATAGGAGGATGCTCCTCGACCCCTATTATGCCAATGACGGGGAAAATAAATGGGGTTACCCCCTTAACTGGGCGCCCGAAACTGAAAAAAAAGAAAAAAAAAAGAAATCCGAATCACAATAAAATAATAAATAAAAGATATAACTTAAGTAGATCTGAACTTTAGTCAGATTGAAGCAATATTCAGTTTTCAACACTTAAGAATTGTATTCATTGATCCCGACTGACAAGGAAAATTAAAATTAAACTAAGCAATTAAATTAAACAAATATAAAACTTTACCTTTTGTGCATGTTTTACGGTCATCATTGAGCAGGTAACCAAAGTAGCACAGAAAAGAAAAGAAAAAGAAAGAAAGAATAATAAAAAAAAAAAAAGAATGTGAAAAAGTATATGAAATAAGAATTTGAAATAAGAATATGAAATAAGTACGTGAAATATGTACTGAAGTATGTGGAATACGAAATTGATAGATGAAATAGGAATGTAAAATAAGAATGTGAAATATCTATTGAAGTATATAAAATAAGGATGTGACTTAAGTATGCGAAATAAGAATGTGAAATATCTACTGAAGTATGGAATAAGAATATGAAATAAGAACTATGAATGAGAAATAAACATAGAAATTAGTAAATAAAATAATAATGTTTATGTAGATATAATAATCATATGACAAATAGCATTAAAATATTTCATTTAAACATGGGAGATCTATATACTTTTTTGAAAATACTTCTCTCAATGATTTTATTGACTCTATTAAAAATTCGTTTATATTTTTTTATTCATTTTTTATAAAGAAAACTAGATTCACAGAAAGTAAGGCAAGAACAAAAAAGTACACAACCTTCATTGGATTGAAAATTTCATTCAGTGATGCTAATTTTAATTCAATCATTGCAAAAAAACAAGTTTATTGAGAATTATTATAATCATTCTGGCACTCTAAATGTACGTTCTTTTTTTAAAGTCACATTATGCCTCAGAAACATTTTTTTTTTCTTCTTCTTCATTTTTAGGAAGAGCAAACTTTCGTTTCATAACATTTAAGTAACGGTTTTAAGGCATGTTAGATGCTTAGTACCTGAAGAAAGCAGCGCTGGATATAAAATTACTTGTCATAAAAGTAGCAAAATGTAAACACAGTAGTATTTTGACTTCCATACAAAATACCAAATATCACTATACCTGCACTAATTACCAAAACGCAACAGAAGCAAAAGATAAATCTGATAATTGGTCAATGATTAAGCTTTTTGAAAAACTTGAACATAACACCAAAAACAAGACGCTTTTGAAAAACAAAAATAAAGGCATTTCTGAGGCATAATGGGCCTTTAAATGACACGATCAAGCTTATTGGGCGAGCTTGACAGCTCGAGTTATTCTGTTTTATCACCATCTTTACCACACATAGCATTTGTTCTGAGGGTTCATGTAGTGATTGTTCTTGCAACTGAAAGCATTCGCAAAATCTCGGGAGTTTTGAAGCGTTCCAATCACCCTGAAATAGAAGAATTAAAACCAGCGTTCATTAATGGAATATCAATGACGTCATTTTCGTAGCATAATCTAATCTTACACAGGTGGGATGCAGGAGATAACTGATCCGAGTAGATTTTATCATATCGCCGTTTATACGTGCATTACATTTAAAGCTGCACGCCTCCGGGTGATCAAAAATAGTTTGATCAAATCAAACCTGAGAAAAAAAATAGTTTGATGAAATTAAACCTGAGAAAAATGTGGAAACGTATAAAGATTTAAAGTTATAGTAATAATTTACATGTTAAGTGCGATTAATGACCGAATATTTTAGTATTTATAACTATATTTCTACTACGTTTCTGATGCAGTAAGGGCAATTTTTAGCATCTTTTGACCTCTTTATGGTAATTTACATGGGTCGTAAGTGTCATTGATAATGTGTAAATTGCATTCTTTTGGTTACTTCACAATATTATACTGTTAAATACATTTACAAATTTTCATGAAAATAAGCATGAATCTGGAGGCGTGCTGCTTTAATTGTTTATAAATTAAATGCAGAACACAAAAAAACATAAACAATTATTTTTTATTCAGCAAATTTGAATATTTAATAAAAAACTTTAACAATTATTTGTAGTAACACCGAGAAAGATATTTTTAAAACAAATCAATTAGATTGAAGTACATTTAATAAAGAAGTCAGCAAAACAGTTTTTCATGGTGCTTATACCACGTGACTTATTGATGACAGAAAGCCAATACAAAAGACGTTCCAAGTTGCATTTTCATTTATCGTTTTAAAAATATTTCAATACTTAATATTGGATAAAGTGTGTAGTCCACTCAAGCTGGTTAGTAACCCATACATAGAATGTTTCTCGGGAAAGTTCAGTATTCTTTTTTCGTGAGATCGCATGACTTTATGAATGTACGAACACGCGGTTTCACTTAACGACAAAATGCGTTGTTTTTTTTAAATTAGAAAACATTTTATGCACGAGCTCCTCAATAGATTAAGAATGAGCGGACTCTTTAAGACCAGAAAACCAAGAACAAGAAGAAATTCGGATTTATATAGTACGTGTTGTTGTTGCTATAGGGGTTTTAAATTTTTACGTTTGCGTTATTATCCCTAGAAAAACAACACCAGTATCTAAAAATATATCAGAGACAACCAGTTGCACAATCCCCAAAGGAATAAGTGAAAATCCTCACAGATGCTCGGCAGTACAGAGCATATAGGGCACAATAACGTTAAAACTTTATAATTACAAAATAATAACAATTTTTTTTTGTGCTACCACATATGAAGTTTCGTCAAACTTATTATATTTTACATATAACCAACCTGAACTGTCCCGGGCTGTGTACGCCGTTTTTTATGGAATTTATCATACCTTCTTTACGCATGTTATTACACCAAATCTGAAATATAGCATTTTCAAATCTGAAATACATGTACATTGTGTATAGCATTTTCAAATCTGAAATATAACATTTTCAAATCTGAAATATAGCATTTTCAAATCTGAAATATAGCATTTTCAAATCTAAAATATAGAATTTTCAAATCAAATCTGAAATATAGCATTTTCAAATCTAAAATATAGAATTTTCAAATCAAATCTGAAATACAGCATTTTCAAATCTGAAATATAACATTTTCAAATCTGAAATATAGCATTTTCAAATCTAAAATATAGAATTTTCAAATCAAATCCGAATTACAGCATTTTCAAATCTGAAATATAACATTTTCAAATCTGAAATATAGCATTTTCAAATCTAAAATATAGAATTTTCAAATCAAATCTGAAATACAGCATTTTCAAATCTGAAATATAACATTTTCAAATCTGAAATCATGCCGCGTCTGCTATTGATACTTGATTACTTTTATTTTCTCTCACAGGATTTCAAGTTTTTGAATTTAAATTATGCATGATAAAAAGGTTAGTAATATACATAGATAGGCTTTATCTGCTGTATATAATTGTATTGCATGTTGATAACGTCACTTTTCATTGGCTAAGAATGGCGTTCATACATATCTATAATTTTTCTATATGCACGACTTCTGTCATTTTATTAAGTTATTTTCGTTTTTCACCAAAATTATTTTATTTTGCTGTATTGTAGATTTGTTATAAAGATGTTTGACAGGCTATATATATTTGATCGCGTATAAACGGTTGTTAGCAACAAAACCACCTTGCGACCCGGATCATATAAGCTATTATATAGCTAAATATACAAATTATTTAATGTATAACTAATAATCCAGTTATAATTATGTCAGTACTATTAATGATTTTAATGACATTTATAAATCAGATGATAAAAGAGTAAAATATAAAGCGATCAAAGTGTTATAGTTGTTATGTTTCTCGATTGTCTACAAAACGCTTAGGTCAACAGCAATAGAAACAAAGCTATTAGCTGACAATTTCAGATTCAGTTTAATTGAATCTGTTCATAAGAGGCAATGTAATGTGCAACATCGCTCACACGCCCCCCCCCCGGCACCGGCTTAAGCGTTATTTGATCCTCAAGTATTAGCATAATACAAAATATAAAAACATTGGAACGAAGACTTCATTTAGCTTAGTTTATACTTTAGGTAACTTGTACAATGTAAATGTCATAAAATGAAAGCAAGTGTTAAGGAAATGCAACCCCCACCCCTCCTCCGCCCAAAAATGAAAATAAATAACGTCAAAAGTTAAGTATAAAAGCCTATCAAAATATAATACCTGGGCAAAGTTGATAAAGAACAGTTGGTTGTTTGTAAAATTGAGTCCCGGTAGCAAAGGTTCCTCTCTCCCCTGTTGTTCAACCCATTTTCTGTATGCCTGGGATAAATACAAACAGCGTGCATAAATAACTAAACACTCTATCTACGCAACAAATTTAAAATATGAAAAACAAGATCAACAAGGAAGGGCGTCGTTCAATAAACGCAACCCCCACACGACCCTGCAACACTGGACCATCGGCAAGAAGCAAGGAACCCAGGAGGACACCAAACAAAAACAGGACGACGAAACAAGGCAAAGTATGGACGACGGTGTCAAATCTTACAAAACACACTGACAGTCAATCCTTTTAATAACAAATCAACATGTAATTTCCTTTTGATATTTTACTTTCGCATTTTTGAGGCAAACTCAAAATGGAAACTTATTCAATTACACCAAATGTTATTATCGCAGCAGCTTGACTAAACTCAAGTCAATACGGCATAAAAGAAAGTTAATTAAACCGTGATTTTAATTATATCTCCGCTACCAGCAGGGTAAGAGTAAAGTGAATCTCTATATTATGATTATATAATAATGAATGTTTTACCCGGAAACTTTGTTTAAGCCCTCCATTATCAGCAATGTTCTCTCCCTGTGTATTAATACCATTTACCTGAAGTTATAACAAACATTACTTTAATCGTACCTTTTGCATTGATGTGATAAATATATACTTAATGAAAATATCACAAACACAGATTCATAATACATGATTTTATGGCAAAAAGTTCATATTGTTATACCTTGTTATTTATGGACGAATAAAATTGATTACACTCTATTTGTACATACATAATCAGTTACTTACAAATGATACCACAATGAATGATGTTAGAGTAAATGTTTATACATCTCAATGGGTTAATAGAAAAGTTCTTTAACAAGGAAACACACATTTTTTTCTCTTATTGATGTTCAACTTTAAACAGGACATATTTAATAAATGTTTCTGTCTTAATTTTCAAATATCAAACTAGATCATGATGTATCTTTAATAAACGTATTTGACATTGTTATTGCATTACTTCGACTCAGAAGATATCACTTTATCACTTAACACAGTATCTTTCCACAAAAATCAACATTGACACCGATGATAATTACAAAATGTTCAGTATAACCCATTGGTTTATTGGTTTAACCTGTCTCCATATATGTCTATATTTAGTAATTAATGTTTTAAAGTAAAAAAAATAGTTTCATTTTGGGTTTGGTTTGTACATATGAATGTTTTGATTCGACGATGTGCTATATACTGGAGACAATAACTTCTTTTCTGTTCTGATACTTTCCATTTGTTTCTCTTCAACCGTTTTTGTGTTCCTACGTTTGAATTCAATAAATGCATACATGCCAATATCACGCTGTCATTTATTGAATTCAATAAATGCATACATGCCAATATCACGCTGACATTTATTTCAGATTAAATATCTTTAAGACGAGAATAAGGCTCGACAAGGCAAATGCAATGTTCACAGGACGCAGCCCCTGACAAACCCAAGCCACAATAATACAATAAAACAATTATTACTTACATTTAGTTCTGCTTCTGGTACAATAAATTCATTGTACTGGTCAACAATACACTTTGCCTTGTCTTTAAAATTTGCAATAATGGAAGCGTCCCACCACTCTTGTAGATTACCGTTCTTGTCATACTGCCGCCCTGTTGTATAAATAATGTTACATTCTGCTTTCTTTATAGATATACTATGCTCATTTTTTTAGTAAAATTCTTTCATCGTAGAAATGTATTGAGTTCTTACTGAATATATGACCGATATGTCTGAAAGTCCTTTAATTAAGCACCTTAAAGTGACATTACGCCCAACCAATGGTATATAGTAGGTGAACATGTGAAAGTCAAAATAAGTTTAAATTTTGCCATGATTCCCTACAATTTCATAATTTACTGAATGCATGAATGATAGGAAATTTCTGTAAGTATCCGTCAGAAGTGTTAATGTTAATGTTCAGATTATAAAAAGCATGTGGCAGTCTTTTTATTGTTTAAGGCAAATTTATATTTTGTCGCAAACATTGTCCAATATCAACTGTTGGTCAATCACCATTTTAGCAGCCAATCTTTTGAAATATATAGACAATTCAGCTCAACTTGACAATGAAAAACATGAGCATAATATCACTTATAAAGATGTTAAAAGCATATTACACAATTAGATTACCTCTATCATCAAAGCCATGTGTGATTTCATGCCCGATAACAACACCTATGCCACCGTAATTCATCGATCTGAAACATCAAACAAAGATCATATGTACGCTCGTACATAAAGCAAGATTTATCATTTGTGTGTTTATTATTGAAAAATTAATCTAGATTTTACAACAATCCCTAAATATACTTTTATCTTTTGTTGCTGGTATTTTGAAAAGCGGAAATTCCTCGAGAACAAGTAGATTATATGAATCTGCGAAAATCGTAGACTCTAGATTGAGTCTATTGATAAGAGTTAAGTAATAATAAATTATGCTACATCTCTTACTTCGGTTGATCTTTACTATAGAATGGTGGCTGCAAAATCCCAGCAGGGAACACTGTAAAGTAAATAAAATTGCAATGTTTTAAAAATATAAATATTACTTATGACATCAATTTAAATAACTTTGCATTGCAATTAACCATATTGATATTATTTGTATAGAATTTGATATTAAATGAAAGAAATTGTCATAACTGTACGTATTCTACTAAAATATGATAAACAAGATCAACAAGGAAAGGCGGTGTTCAATGAACGCAACCCTAAATGTGTGATTAAAGCCAGTGCTAGGAGGTGATAGCAATTTCCAGTACCGTCCATGAACAACTTCAATCAAACCGATCGCGAGCCTGCAACATTTGCAACTTTGCCTTTCTATGAGTTCATTAGGGAGTATGTCTTTTATTTCAATAGACTTGTACATCTTTCATTTTTGGAACAGTCTATTACTTGTTTTATGTGTGTTCATGTAGAGCGTGAAGATCATGATAAATTCTCACACACCCCAGCACCGGTATGTAATTTGTGCAATGAATCTTAAGTGACATTATGCTCATTTGTTCGTTGTCGTTGGCTTGAATTAGATTTTAATTTCAAAAGTTTGACTAAATGGTGATTAATCAATTATTGATAATAAGAAATGTTTAATAGGATAAGGTATGAAAAACTGCCTAAAATATAAAAAAAACTGTCCCACTCATTTTATCAAATGAACGTAACCGATATATTCTGAATGATATTTATAGATATTTCCGTGAGCCAAGTGGCTTTTTGAATATAATATGAATTGTGGAAGCAAATACTGCAAAAAGTAAACGTATTTTGAAATTTACCTGTGCTCTGAACATTTAAAATTTGATGGGCATAAATATACACATCAACAACAGTCTAGAACATTTAAAAGCAAAAAGCTTGGTTATCATTTTAAGTCTAAAACATGTCTCTTAATAAAGAACTTACTTATGTTATTGCGTATAGAGCTGTAAAATGCATTCACTGTAGACGGAGGGGTTGTCCATCTGAAATAATTGTTTAAAAAGCAGCGAGATTTAAAGAAAGATAATTTACATGTGACAATTGATTCACATGTGAATAAAATGACTACAAGGATAAAAGAGAACTACAATTTAATGACATTTTAAAGTACATTACATTGTAAAGAAAAGCAAAAAGGTTTCTTTTGGCTGCATAAACAAAAAGGTGACAAGATCAATCAAACCCAATCTGCAATTTTTATGTAATTTTGTTGTGATTAATGCTTCCGATGGATCACTTTTTCTCCAGATTAATAAACATCACAAGAGCAGGTGTCATGGCAGCTGTAAAAATGTTTGACCCGTACTTCACTTCAGTGTTGTTATATCTTTCTAGTCTTTCGGGATCATTGATTTCAACACTTTTAAGTGTTGAAAATTGAGTACCGCTCATGTCGGTGCAAGAGGGTTATGAGGGATTATGCATGTTTTCATTATTCCTCATTAACAGACTCAATCAAACCGGGTCTGCAATTTTTATGTTATTTTATTGTGATTTATGCTCCCGATGGATCGCACTTTCCCCAGACTTTTATTATCGAAAATACATTTATACATGTATAAGTTTCAGTTATATAGTTAAAGCTAGCTGACTGTAACAGACGAAACCGTATACAATCACATTATCATTTTGATTAATTTTTAACCTACACATTCTTGTTGTACTTAATCCTCAGGTTTTGTAGACCAGATTTGGCGGAATTCTTCAAATTATTCAGCACATTCTTGAAATACTCGTTTTTGTCAATCGTAGCCTGAAAAAAACCAGTTCTCACGCCAATAAAACTGCATAAGAATATACAATATAACCATTTAGTTTCTCAAGACAAAATAGTAAAGCAGCATGTTTTGTGTCTGAATAAATTGGTCTGATTCAATCATTTTTACAAAATGGATTAACAACAATTGAAAGCCGGTACAGTTGGCTTGATATTTAGCTCGATGTCCGTCTTTCCCTACTGTCGCAAACTGATGAGTGACAACCATTCTCATCTTTTAATAGTTCTGACCAAACCGGTGCTGGGGGGACCGGTAGGGGCGGCGTAATATACACGGCTGAATGAATTTATCACTGCCAACAATGCGCAGGTGTAATCAAAAGAAGTCTGAAACCTTTTCTACTGTGGACTATTTTGTTTAAAGACACCTTGGGACATTAGATCAATAATATTGCATTATACTGCCATCAGATATTAGTTTATATTTTATTCTAAAACAATTTTATTCCGGTTATGAAGAAAGCTATAAGCTTACATAGATACTCTCGAATCCGTTCCTGGAACGAACCAGTACTAAGCAATGAGTATAAAATTTCTGGCCCTGGCGGGACTTAAATCAACGTTGCCAGCAATTCTTGGAGACGCGATAGCTACTTAGTCATGCACCCACTTCATTATACATCCTTAAATAAATATTCATTGTCATAATAATGAATGTGCTACATGTGAATTCTATAGAAATATTTGAAGCTGAATTTACATTTTCATATAATTCGTTGACTTTCTCCTCAATAATGACGTCATCAGGATAGCCAATCCACTCCCTCATTGCTTTAGCCTACAACAAATCAAATTACTCAAATTACCCATTACCTTGCTGATGTTGTGTAATAGATTTGCCCTGCTTTGTATTCGGAACACGTCAATTATATTCGGAACACGCCATTTTTATTCGGAACACGCCATCCCAAGTTTAACGGATTTTGATTATAAAAAATATGTATGATTGATCTCTATAGTATATATAACATGTATAGTCTCCCTTTTTGAAAAGTTTTTTTTTGTAAAATCGGGTATTAGTTATTCCCCCTTACTTAATCAACCCCATTTGATGACTGCCAAAGGCACGAAACTATAAAAACATGAAACGTTGAGCTATAAATATATAATTGAACAACATTACAGAGCCTGGTCGGAATGCCCGAATGTACATGCTGGCCTGTCTCTATATCTGATGGTTTCAGCAGGTGACAGGTTAAGCATACATAGTAGTATGTCAAATTGTAATTAAGTTATGTTTTTGTCACGGTTCAGAACTGTTACTTTAAGGGAAGAGGATGTGTAAGCGACCGGATAGCTCGGTCGGTAGAGCCGCGGTACGGTATTTCGAGGATCTTGGGTTCGAGTCCAGGTAAGGCTGCACATTTTCTCACCCTTCTCAATTTAGAGGGATTGAAATCCAAATAACTAATGAAATATTTTGTTTTATTTATTCATTATTTCAGTATAAATATGTTCTATTTCAGAATCACTTAAACTATAATTATTATTTGATTTTATTTCATCATATTTGAAAAAGATAAATCCAATTTGAAAGCGGCATGTCTCAGACTCAGAATTAATGTACTTGTATATTTTCCCAAATTTAAAAACTATTTAAAGTTTTGAACTACTAAATACACATTCACATTTCCAGAGTATTACCCTATAAATTATGTACATGGATATTCTAACTAGAAATATAAATAGTACTCAAACAAAAAAGAAATAATAAAAACATAGAAAATAATTTAGACTAACATAATTATTTTTGTTAATCATAATATACATGTATAGTCGCAAAAGAGCAATGTGTGAACTTTGTGTTTACTAGATCTCCTGTTGCTTAGCTACAATTCCTACTACTATACTGAATATTTATGATAAAACCTTTTCTCTTGCAAGCTCCTTTGTCGGCTCATCCATCCAATCAAGTTCATCCAGAAGCTCGTTAAAAGCGTCTCGTATGTTGCCAATCATATCAAGTGCCTAATTTGCAAAGATGTCGAAAAGATAAAATCAAAACCGTTAAAATGAATAGTAAATAATCTTAATGTTATGAATTAAAATTATGATTAAAATCTTTCATAGCATAATGTCCTGTTAACTCCAAGCGCAAATAAAACTTCTTTATAAAGTCGCTAAACGCGCGCTCAAACACATTTTATAACTGACCATTCAAACATAAATTAAATCATTATTGTAACATGTACCCTTGATGAGGAAATTCTTGCGTTTATTTGCCAGCTTTCGCATATGCATCGTCTAACATTGGATCTGTGTTAACAGGTACTGTCCTTAAAGTTTTAGACAGGAGAAATGTCAATTCTTTTATTCAATATTCCGTAATCATTTTAAATTTTGTTACATGTATTACTAAATTGTTCTTCGCGTGATACGGTGTGTGTTTTGTCTTTTAATCACGGTACAAAGTTCTATAACTTACCACTGACTTTGCAGATTCGTCGAATGTTTCTTTGACAAACATATGACCGACTGCCATCCCAAATAAACTGACAGTATAGTCCACACATGACTTCCACCTGGCCGTGGAGGCTGATGTCCCGTAAACCACCTGATGTGAGTGAGTGGATGGCAGATTAGATAAGAAATTAGCACAGATACCAGTGAAAACATGAGGTAAGAAAATAATCATGTTATGTTTGCATGAAATTAATAACAGCATCACACTGGGCATGTCTTTCGCAAAAGCGATGGGTCCATCATAGCAACGGTAGAGTATTCGTCTCTGGAGCGGTAGATAGAAATGGCTGTTTGCTGTTGTCGGTAATTTAAAGACTGAACTTTACTTTATTTCTTAATTTTTTACGGGAAACACCCAGTGAGACTGGAGCGCACACATGTACTGTAAATGTACATGGCTAAACTCATGTATTCCTCGGTGCTTTAGCAAAACAAAAAGCTAAAAAATAACTAAAAAAACAAGCAATTATCATAGTATTGCAAGCAATCCATAAGTCCCCTACCGGTTAGAACCCCATCAACATTCTGAAGTTTCAAAAAAATATTTCCAGTATTTTTGTGTTATCACTGGATCCAGTTTATGTGTAAAATTTGCCATATTTTCAGCCTATTTTTTGCCATAGCAACCATAATTTTCAACATAGGAAGAAAAGAAAAAGACGTGCATAATCTCCATACTGCCATCTATCCATATATCAAGTTTCATAAAAATATTTTCAGTACTTTTCAAGTTATCGCGGGATCCAGTTTTGTGGACGGACGGACTGACAGACAGACGGACGTACAGACAGACAGACGGACGGAAGGTAAACCTAAAGTCCCCTCCGGTAAACCAGTAGGAGACTAAAAACAACAAAGAAACTAGAACAGCCACTGTCATGGCGTCAATACCCTCGCATACCGCTTTGTAAGAATCAACAGTGGTCATTTAAAGCTCAAGGACAGCCTCCCTGCCAAATCTGAGGGTAGTAAGCCAGTACATTGCTACCTTGACCTCTGACGTCAAAATTAATACGCTGTGGACAGGCATTCTTAAGCATTCGAGCAGACAAGCTTATTGTAGTGAAAGCCCCTGTGACCTTAACCTTTGACACAGTCACCTAAAAATCAAAAGGGGTAATCTACTAGTCATAACCAACCTCAATACCAAATATGAAGTGTGTTGACCAAAGCTTTCTTAAGCAATTAAGAGGACAGGCTTTTTGAACTCAATGCCCCAGTGACCTTGACCTTTGACCAAGTGACTTCAAAATCAATAGTGGTCATCTAATGGTCATGATCAACCTCCATGCCAAATATGAAGACTGTTGGTCAAAGCATTCTTAAGTTTTTGGGCGGACAATCTTTTTTTGTTAAGACCCTTCTGACCTTGACCTTTGACATAGTGACCTCAAAATCATTAGGAGTTATTTTCTAATCATAACCAATCTCAATACCAAATATGAAGACTGTAGACCAAAGCAGTCTGAAGCAGTTTAGCAAACAAGCTTTTTAAACTTAAGAGCCATGCGACCTTTGACCCAGTGACCTCAAAATAAATAAGGGTCACCGAATGGTCATGACCAAACTCCACGACATATATGAAGGCTGTTGGTCGTTACTGGGCAGACCAGCTTTTTGAAGTCAATGCCCTTGTGACCTTGATCTTTGACCTGGTGACCTCAAAATTAATAGGGCTCATCTACTTCTCATGACCAATCTTAATTCCAAATATGAAGACCGCCCGCCAAAGGATTATTAAGTTATTGACAAGGAAAATCCGACGGACGGCCAGATTCCAGTATACCCCGCCCCCTTACAACTTTGTAGTGCGCGGGTATAGAAACAGACAAAACAAAACAACATATATAAAATATATTACATGTTTATAATTATATCACATATTTCGATGTTCTTTGTAGACAATTACTAGTATGTGGTAAAACGGAATTTTTTGTTGACACAGTTGACCAGTTTGTACAATATGGTTTCAGAAATGACACTCTGATAAGCATATGTTGTACGACGACATCAACAAAGGAATTTAATAGCGTATTTCACATGTGCTTATCTATTATTTATATTTATGCCTAGCTGACTTTCGATTTCTTTATATTGGAACCTTTAGCTACTACAAATGTGAAACTAAATTTTAAAAAAATGATTAACGGCGCTAAAACATGCCTTAATATAATTTATTTTACAGTGAAACCTTTGAAAACAAATCAGCTTTATTTCCCTATGTTAGTGACAATACTCTAGAATGAAAGTAACACAGAAATGCTCACGCCCGGCAAACTGTCGCTCCACTTCAAAATTGTGGTTAACGAAAAAGCGAGCGAACGGCATTTCCGAGGAGATAGAGCGGAAGGCCGATTTAAACGACTATTTGTAAGTTTTGTTTATGTTTTTGTCTTGTTATTCATTTATGTTGTATTTTTCGAAAAACGGAAACTGCAGTTCCGTGAAGGATTGATTTAGGCTTTCAATGATCTAAGCTGTTACAAAAAGAAAATAACCCGGGAGAACTTTTCTCCCTGACGAAGCGAACGACGATTTGTAAAGTATTGAACTTCCCAGCCATTGAAATGTCATACCCTTCGGATTTCTTAAAAAAGTGTTTAAGAAAAAATATCAACCCGTAATAAGAACTTGTCCTTAGTGCAACATTAATTACTCCTGAAGTATTTCTTAAATTTGAAGAAAGTAGTGGAGCCAAAGGGCAAGGGATGGAGCGAAAGGTTCGATGTTGAGTGCAAGGTGATATTGATTTTACGTATTAGGAGGAGCGTAGTCTATGATTTTTTATGTGTAAAAGCTACAGAAGTTAAAATAGACACGATCAAGTGTTGAGACCGAGATATATATACTTTTTAAAGACAACTTATAAAGTGTGATATCCTTTCAACGACTATAGCGTAATAAATGTAATCGCGAAGGTATCACCTATGGCTGCCGACAAGATTCCATTATTTTTATTCCAAATTTGAATGAGGCCCGATCATTGAATCATATGCATGGCGTTATACAGGATGCCACTTATTCGAGGTCAATCATGATATGTAGATTTAAAAACGTGTGTCCGTGCAAATTCGATAAAATTGAATATTTTCAGATCTACCGTGAAAAAATGATTCCAAGCAGGTACGTGTAACACGATTGTCACTGCCAAAATGTTATGTTTTTTAAAAAAGTTAGATATTCAAGGTGCAGAGTAGAGACAAAATTATGCAATGCATGGGGCAAATTAAATGGATGACTACTACCGAGTTCATATTTTCTGTAATCAATAACTCTAATGTATAGATTCAGAGCAAACACAAATAAGCCACAATTTTATGAATTTGTAAGGTGGGGAATCTCTATGAAAATAGTTGACAAAGTGTCAGCCGTTCTCAGGATAAAACACGTTTTTCAGTTATGTTTCAAGATACCTTCTCCCTTATTTAGCATTGTTGTTTAGTTTATTATTTTCCTCTCAAAGTATTAATAGAAATGTTTACTTTCATAATAAAACACTGCAGTACAAATCTTAGTTAAAGAAAAATTAAGTTAGAAACATATCTGTAAAATGTTGTTTCTTTATTCACTCAGAATCTATGAACAAAACGAACGTAATAAAAAGGACTAAAATTATCAATATTTGATAGACCTAGTTAAAGTAGAAATAGATTAATATATTATCATAGTTCTCCGGCTTCACATTTTAGTACGTCTATTTTATCTTTGAAAGATTTTATTTATAGAATTTCGTAGACTACGCTCTTTACGCCAACTTAATATCGCATTGCGCCCAACAACCGACCTTTCGCTCCATCTCTTGCCCTTTGGCTCCACTACTTTCGAAAAAATCTACATACAAATTTAAGAAATCCACCAAGAGTAGATATTTTGCACGAAGAACTAGCTCTTGTTGCGGGTTGATATTTTTTAACACCTTTTCAAGAAATCCGATGTGTAGAGCGTTTCCATGGTTGGAAGTTTGATATTTAACAAATCGTCCTTCGCTTCGCCAGGGAGAAAAGTTCTCCCGGGCTTAATTTTATTTTGTTTTTGTAACAGCTTAGATCATTGGAAGCCTAAATCAACCCTACACGGAATTACATTGATCGATTTTTGAAAAAATACAACATAAATGAATTACAAGACAAAAACATAAACAAAACTTACAATTAGTCGTTTATATCGACCTTCCGCTCTAACTCAGAAATGCCGTTCGCTCGTTTTACCGTACACCACAATTTTGAAGTTGAGCGACAGTTTGCCGGGCGTGTCTCTTATCTAATAAACATATAGGACAATATTTGATAGAACAAAATCAAAACATAATATAAGCACCTCATTGTAAGAAGCTCTCGCCTCTAGAAAATTTCTGCCGAGGTTCCCCACAACATTTTTGTGTACAAAATACCACATTAGATAGTTAGTAACAGTGCTGAAACAAACGGCAAACAAAAATAATTTTCTAATATCCGGTATACACTCGTGAAAATTCGGTATTTGTCGGCACTTTCCGCGTTTTCCTAATACATTAATTTTGAAATTCTGCAACGCAAGATCCGTTTAAATCGCTTCGCTTATGTGACAAGACTGTAAAAGTAAAACGTTATACAAAACGATGAATACGCAAAGGGGAACGATAAATGTATGATACAAAACGATATGCACGTGGATCTGAGCGATAGATCCATATACCATGGAGCGATAGAACGAAAAAAGTTTGCGTTACGAAACGAACAATTGATATTATGTCAACGGAACGTTAAAGACGCGATATGGAACGATAAAAAGGTGACTAAGAAAGATTTATTTTTAATGATATGGAACGATAAATACGTGGAAACTTGAGAAGATCATTTCCATTACAGTGAGACAAATACGATGTCAATAAATATTGTTAAAAGGGATCAATGTGCTATACGGAAAATAATTACATGTATATTCAAACAAAATGCTGAATTAGCGAGAAAAACGATAAATACGCGTAAGAGAACGGTAAGAAGACGATACAACAGAACGACAAATACATTATACAGAACGATAGATACGGGAAGATAAATACAAATGCACACTACATTGAACGATACATACGTGGAACAGAACAATATATTCGCGATGCAGAGCGATATATTCGTGATTTAAAAAGTTAAATTCGTGATACATAACGACAAGTACGAATGTACGTGGTAAGGAACTATGATACACGTGATACAGAACTTAACTTGTGTCGTACAGCACGATAATTACATGATACGGATCGATAAACACATGCGACAGAACGAAAAATTAGCGATACGGAATTACAATGTACATGTATAAGAACGCGATACTGAACATACAGAACAGTATATATTCAATGCGTAGCAATAATACGGGTTTTGGAAAGGTAAATAGGTAATATGTAACGCGATATAAGCGATCCATAACGATAAATACGCAATATGGAGCGATATATTCGCGATACAGAATGATATTTACGTAGTACGGAACGATAAATACGCCATACGTAGCAATAAACTTACGCGATACTGACGATAAATACGCAATACATAAAGATGATACGCTACACCGTTTCGACTTCCCTTCGTGGCGTGCACGTCGCTCGGAAGGCATAGGTCACACCAGATGGGTGACCTAGTTAGGTCACTTAGCTGGTGTGACCTAACCAACGACGAAGGGTGTGGCCCTAAAGAGAGCTGCTGCTCCCGGAAGAGGTGCCTTTCCTCTATTGTCATTTGTTCATGAAGCGAGGAATTTGGTCCTAGAGAAGGTCTACGACGATCGACAGCTTGAAAAGACCTCCGTCGCGGCTCTACGACATCGACGACGTTGCAGGCGAATAAGTCCTCCGTTGCAGGCTCTACGTTACCAGCAATCGTAATAGAGGCCGACTAGTCTGGGACATATGGGAAACCGGCGCCCAGTATAAATAAAACCAAAAACTCACACCGTTTCGATAAATACGCGATACATGACGATAAATACGCTATACATAACGATGATACGTTATGCAGAACGATAAATACGTAATAAAGGACGAAAAATACGCGATATAGAACGAAAAGAACGCGATACTGAAAATGACGAAGGTTGCCGAATTTACACGAGCTTATACTTTGTTGAAGGTTATATTATTAGTGAATAAACTTATTCTACAAGGTATAGGGTATTAAAACATGATAATACCTCGTTGTATTCTGTTATAAGATCTCTAAACCGGTTGTCTAAATTTCTAGCACGATTCTGCATAATGTACCACACCATATAATTAGCAACTACACTGTGAAAAAAATACAGATGAACTAATAAAGCTATATGATATAGAGGATATTGAATGAGTGTAAGTTCAATACTGAATTTATTGCACGAGTTGAATAAATTTATATTATGCGAGCCTCTGGCGAGCATAATATTATCTTATTCAACGAGTTCAATAAATTCAATAATGGATTGACACGAATTTAATATTCTATTTATCACATACCCAAAATAAAGACCGTTTAAAGTGAAAAAAGACTCATTTTTCATTGACGCGCCTATAGTATAACGCTTAGTATAACATTTAGCTCTTCTTTACACTATGTTTGTATACCGCTAATGACGTCACGTCAAAATATATCCACGGCCGTGCAATACCATTTTATTGTCCCGCACAATCGGCACGGGTATGTGATAAATAAAGTTATATAACTAGCCCTAACCTCCTGAACTATTATAATGGATTTACATTGACTTTGATTAATAACAGTCCATGGATAGCTACCAGTTGTCCGGATGCTGAAAATTTATAGGTGTCCTTTTGGTAGATAAGTTAAAGGTTAAAACATGCAAGCACCGTGTATGGAGTGTATTTAAGCCTCACATAGAAAGATAATCAAGATAGGTAAAGGCATATAGCAAAGTCTAGCAAGAATATCCTGATTATGATATATATCTATGTCATGGGAACTACTTTGATATATATATGCATGTATATAGCTCATATATGACATGACTGTGCTATTTTGGTGACCCATATCACTCGAACTGGTGGCGCCATGTTGTATTCCTACGAACCCATATAGGACGAGTCAGAACACAACTTCACAACGCTGTAACCAGGACTGATCAGTTCACAAGAATAGCACATACATGTAACTTTTTATTTCATTTATTTCATCTCAGAAAATCTATAGAAAAGCAAAAGGAACTGGTTTATATAATTTTATTATTAAAAATATTGTATTTTCATAAAAAATGATTACACGACATGTATATAATGAGAACGTGTAACACATCATTAATCCTCCTATTATTATATTGTAATTATAAATATATCTTGATTTTGAACTTGTCTTTGTTTCGAACAAATTTTCAAGGTTGGAATTACACAAAGAGCAGCTAGCCTAAGTGAGGTGCAACAAGCCTATGTGAAGTGAAACTAGCCTTTAGAAATGTGAGCAGTTCTAAAAACTGAGTATCGCCGAGTGTGTGTATTATATAACCTTAGAACCGAGCAACACGGTAAGAAAACGGACCAATATAACTTATAATTATCAAATATAAAATGTTAAATGTGGTTTACTGGTACATAATTTAGCTCTCTTGAAAAGAAAATGCAGCCATTTTTGGGATTATTATTCAACATATTCATTTATCAGTGACAAAATTTGAAAAAAGAACACAATTTATAAATGATTTAGATGAATAATCAAACCAGGCGAGATACTGTATGCTACGTGAAAAAGCATCTGTACATTATGGTGGCTGATTTGGAACGCTTTTGTGTGTCGTGTTGTCGCTAGTTACAGCACGACAAAACGGCACGTTGTCGCGGTGTCACATTGTCGCTCGGCTCAAATCGAAGGATTGGCTTATAAGCTAAGCGACAGGGCGACATCGCGTGCACGATAACACGCCGTTTGGCGTGCTTCAGGACGATGAGACGACAGTACGACAACACACCACTTGGCGCGTTTCGCTAGCGACAAGATGACAAGACGATAAGGCGATAACGATATAGGTTGTGTTGTCGCTATCGACAACGCAACGAGCAAAGTGTACCAAATCAGCCACCATAGTACACAGTGTACATCACAGAGATAAAGAAATACCGTTTTCTATGTTTCTGGAGGACATTGAACAGTTTTTCGAAGTATGGCACTGCTCTGACAACGACTGGTTCACTGTGATTTATTGCTATTTTAACACCTTCGATATCAAACACTCCAGTAATGAATTGCAACCAGTCAAACTGAAAAGAAGGAACGACACGCAGTATCACAGTTAAGTTAACAACCTGGAGTCAGTCATAAGTATGTAATATTAACATATAAACGAATTCAGTATCTATACAACCAGAAATTGGTCTTTAAACTTAACTATCAAAATTATATTTCGATTATTATCTTATATTCAATACCAATTAACCTTGCATCATCTTGGTGTAACAGAATTTCAAAAGTATTCATACATTTTAGTATTTATAATATTTGATTTTTTAAGGTAAATTGAGTTGGGCTCTATCATAGCATTGATATATATAATCCGAACCATTACCTGGATGTCAGCACCAGAATCTGGTTCTGTGAAGTTCTGTTTTAGTTCAGATATTGTCATTTTATTATACAGAGCCTCGTTGTCGCGTCTGTCCTCCGCCCTCATGCTGATCTGTTTGTACAAGAAAATGTCCGACTTTATTTAAATACAAGACAGTCTGATTTCATTAAAATAACACAAAGAAAAGAATTATGGTTGGGTTATTAGTACGAATGTGGTCAATTAATGCGTGAGACACGGAATAAGAGTGACGGAATCACTGGCCGCAACCCGTAATCGAAATGATGAACCACTGGTAGCAACCCATGCTCACGACAATGAAAGCCGGGCATGACTAAAAACATCTAGTGCATCCATACAGAGTTTGCGACGCCTACTACTATTGCCATATTAGTACTTGCTATTTCAGAAATCATATTAAAATTTATGCGTATTAGATCTACTATATAATTAATTTCATATAAAATTATAAGTTCCATCTACAACCGTTGCCATATTTGGACATGCTTACAATGCTTTTCATTAAAAAAAATCATTTGCAATTTTACAGCGGGAAGTTACTCATTTAAAAAACGTTTTAATATTCATAGATTTACTTTGATAAAATCAGAAAGATGGTCCTAAATATATGTCTGCAAGTTAGTTTTATTTCTTACGTTGGCAAGATCTGTCTCAAAAGCCAAAACTTCTCTCATTTCTATTTCAGCCAATGTCGCATTTGCACCAAATAGCTTTGCAATCGATGACGCAAGCGTGACGTATGCTTCGCGCATGTGCGATAAATTTTCTTCGAGGTAATACGTTCTACCTGGTAGACCGAAGTCGGGTTGGTCCAACTGTTGAAGAAGAATACATTTAAAATAATTCTTGTAATAGGAAAACGAAAGGTGTATTTACTGTAGATTCTAGTTTGGCCTATTGTGATTTATATCAAAAGGTCATGGTACGAGAATGCGTTACAAAATTGGCACGACCAAGTTGGTCGCTTAAGTTTGTCATACATGTATTAGGTTCAGCTGCATTTCAACCTTTGAGGTTCGCATCCAGAGCTCTAGGTTAGAAAAGTGGTTATTCAAATCAAATGGTAACTCGGTCATGGCACGTGAAAATATGCGGAGAAAGACCTCTGCTTTTACTCAAACAAACAAAAAACAATCCGGAAATCCTCCTAATAGCTTAAATATGTCTGAAACAAACGAACGAAAAAAAAAACCTCCGACGAATGCATGATCTCTGAAGCAATGGACCTTCTTTGCCTAGACTACGTATGACGTTGTTGGAGACCTTGGGAAGAACGGTCTTATTTGTTTTTGTTTTGTTGCTGTTTTTTTGTATTAATACACATTATTGTACATACGTAAATTATATATTTCTCGGAGTCTTTACTATCAGAACTGATATAAATATCCATCAAAGGACGGTTGTTGTACTCTCTCAGTTTTATAAGCAGACGAGACAAATCGAACTCGCTCTCTGCCCACGCGCCACCTGGATTCGATTCCAAGACCGGCCATCCTCCTAGTTCACCAAGTAACGGTATTGCCACAGTAGTATTTTTACTTTCAATTGCCTCTGAAAAATGTAATAAAGACGGTAATTTTCATGAAATTCATCTTATATTTTGTTATCTCTTTGAGACAAGAATAATGGGAAATTTCGATGAAAAAAATATTCCTGAAATTCTACACTAATGTATTGATTTTCATTCTTACATACAAACTGCGCCGAATTACCAACTAAGACGTATACATATACTTTTATTCATGAATAGCGCTCAGAATGCACCTTCTGCGGGCTCAAGATTAAGATAAGTTCTCGAGCTTTGTAGACGTTAATGCACAAAAAGGAGTAAATAATTAACACTTTGAAAACATCATTATTCATTCGGGTAATTTGATTAAAGTTACAACGAAACTATGAAATATGATATGGTTGAGAAAAAATGGATTTATTCACAAAGTTATTTTAGATCAAGTAAATTATTTCTCGGCCCTACCTAGGTCAACACATGAGGAATACATGTCTTTCGCCTTAATCACGCCTGAACCATTCGGATAGGACATCGTGTCTTCTAGAAGGTCTGAAATGGAGAAAATTATAATGACAGCTAGCTATCAGTTCCATTTGAACGATATTTAAACTAATTACAGATTGTTTTATGCATCATTTTCGGGCGCCCAAATAAAACCATTGACCCTCCTTAAGCTTTTGTTGTTAACTTCTTCAAATGTAAGAATACAAAGTATATGTATGTGGTCTATGCTTAATGAGAGTCTATCCGCCAATTATGGTACAAAAGTACCATTCGCTATTGAGTAAGGACCCCGTACATGTCACCAGTCATGCCCTTAAAGGGTTTGTTTTGAAGCACAAAGTCGAGGTAATTTACCTCCATGAAATTTCCGCGGAGTCGGTCGGCAAATATATGAATTTTGAGACGAAAGTAGGTGACTGTATGGCGATCAATGAGAATCTAAATGTACAGTAAGCTGAGACAATATAAAGGAGGTAGCCATGAAAAGGGCTGTTCGTGTCACGCAAAAGGCTTTCCTTTCAAGCCATCACGTCGTGCTAATCGTTCACACACACTAGCACCCTTCCTCGTCGTCTCGCAACTCCCCTTGAGAGAGGACATTGGTAGCTGGTCCGCAGGTACAAATCCGCTACTTTTTAAAAAAAATTTCCCCATCCCAAGTTCTTCAATCTTTTGTCGATGCCAAGGCAAACATTGTTTTAGAGTTTCCTTGCATGTATTTTTATCTAAACATTGTCTCAGAATTTCTTTACATTTATTGATCACTTGTACATTGTTTCAGAGTTAGATTATATGTATTTATCATTTGAACATTATCCCGGAGAGTTCACTTACATTTATTTATCACTTGTACATTGTCTCGGATCACACCAAACACGTTAAAGCCCGATCTGTCTTCAGGTATCACATGCTTCTTCTTCCACGAGCCGCACGAGTACTGGTAGAAATCTTCGCACGGGTCAACCGACATGTCCATATTCTCTATCAATCTAGCAGCTAAAGAGACTCAATATATTATTAACAAGTAAAAGAAATCAAAGATTATAAACATTTTAAAAGATTGTTTTGGTTGGTGTCGAGTTTTCGATGCTGTTGTTGTTGTTTTTTTTAAAGAAGATCACCATCTAACTTTATTTTTTTTAATAATAACATGTGCTGGAATGGGTTCCCATACTGCATTGATTTGCCTGATTGTACTTTTGATTCTTCAGATTTTTACATTATATGCTGGAGTGCCTATATCGCATTAAAATAACTCCACTGGGGTCCACAACTTAAACGAAAATATGAATTACATACAGATATCAAATGGGGACATTTGATAGAGAAAGATAAGTTGAAGTAAATTAAGAAATATTCTTCAAACAATTTGAAAGTCTATTTCATGCAATTCTTTGCCCGATTTGATAAAATAAAACGTTGCAACACTTTCAATTCGCCAAGAATTCGCTAAAAATGGCTTAAGGTCAATCTTAACGTAATGTGTAACAAACTCTGAAAGGCCTTTGACTCTATCTCAATCCTTTTAGAATCCATTGAGAAGTTGCAGCACTTGGAAATCAGTTTTGATGGAAAAAACTCAACGCAAAAAAGTTATTTTTGGCAGTTTTTAGATGTCCCCCGTTGCCATGGTAACAGGAAATTTAAGATTTGCTGTTACAAAGGCCATGGTCCAGTCAACACTTGTGCCAAGTTTGACTGTATTGAAGCATTGTTTATAGTTTCATATCAGTTTGAACTTGTAACAGGAGACTTTTCAATAAAAACAGCCATTTTTCACAATACATGTATGCTCATGCAATAAAAGATTAAACTATTTTATCTCTAAATGGACAAATTTAGTTGAATATAAGCCATATTATTGATTAAAATGAATGTAGTACTCTTAATCCTTGTAAATAGTAGCCTGTGTCCCTGCATGACTTCGTGTCACTGTATGCCTTAAAGCAATTTGCTTAAACGTGTCCATGATCATAAAGAGACTTTTATCTGATTATATATATACGGTTACATAGATGAAGATAACAAACGGCTAAATAATACTCAGTAAGTAAGTGTAAAACAAGAGCCCCTCAGCTCTGAATTGTCCTCTTTGAAAAAAAAATATTATAACCAAGACCAAAAACCTTACAAGCGAGTGACAGTTGCACCTCCTTGGTCGTTTAGTGAATTCATTTGGGCAGTACCCTAAAGGCACGTTACTCCTCAGAAAAGAATATTTATTTTTTATTTCTTTGAGAATTTTATAATGTTTAGATAATGATTTTAGAGCATGTTAGATGCCTGTTACCTGAAAAAGTAACACTATATGTGAAATAATTTGTAACAAAAGTACCAAAATGTAAAGAAAGTAGTATTTTGACTTTAATAATCACTATAATTCTATAGATTTCCAGAAAGCAATAGAAGCAGGAGATGGTTCAGATAAATGACCAATGAGTAACCTTTCTGGAAAATATATAATTATAACATGATATCAGAGAATAAAAATCTTTTGAGAAATGAAAATAATGGCGTTCTGAGGAATAATGGGCCTTTAAATTTTTTTACATATTTTTGTGCGTATTATTTATACTTACTAGCTTCAGCACAATCAGGTGTACCACATACTTCTGAAAGACAGAAAAGTAAAATATATTATTCACACGAAGCTACTCAATATTAGGAAATATTACTAGGTTTTCCCACGATGAGTACATTGCAACCTCTGAATACCGGTCCCTCTGTAGAGAAATAACCTCTATTTAACAAAAGCCTCAATTCTTCCAATATTAAGAGACTTCATAATAAATAAAACTCTGTAATGGAACAACGCTCGCCCACAAATGAAATGTGTGCGTCGCAAAGGGTGTTGCTCTGTAAAGATTAATTAAATAAGTAAGTAAGTCGGTCGGTCAGTCAGTCAGTCAGTCAGTCAGTCAGTAAAAATAAGTAAGTCAGTAAATAAATATAAATAAATAAATAAATTAATAAATAAAAACTAATGATAAAATAAATTTTAAAAAATAATAAGAAGAACTCATCAATTCGGAGAAATTCGGTGAGTATCTGGAAATACGATATAAATGATGCACTTTATGACCGATAAATAATATTTACTGTACGATAAACAACATTTCAACAGCATTGTATATCTAAAAGACATATGAAAAGTATAGATTTACATAAACAGGCTTTGTTCAAAGTGGTTCGTATACACTCCGGTGATTATCATTTCACTCACTCACTCACTCACTCACCATCTCACTCACTCACTCACTCACTCACTCACTCACTCACTCACTCACTCACTCACTCACTCACTCACTCATTCACTCATTCACTCACTCACTCATTCACTCACTCAATCACTCACTCACTCACTCTTCTTAACGATGTCTGCGTTTGTCAGGTATCAATCATGTTATTTCATAAAAATAACTGTTACCATAAATAAATGTGTAGTATCAACATGTTCGTAGTCAATTTCTGGCCAATTTGGCAAAAACTGAAATAACACGAGTGAAGCTTAATGTAAACGTTAATTTACTGCACCAGACATTTCATATTCTAAATCAATGAAATCTTACATGTCATTTAGGAATTTTAGTGCTGGACCTCAAAGTACGTAACTCACTGTAGGGTCGGATCTCAAAGTGTCATACCCTAAAGTGCGTTTGACCTTAAAGTGCGTTTCACCTCAAATTGCGGTGTTACAAAAGCCTGTATATTTTTAAAGGGCTGTTCCGAATGAAAAGCAGTCGTATTCCAATTTAAAGGTAACGATTTAGGAATTGTTTGAGTGGCCGAATTGTCTGAACCGACGTGATCCTATAATTATGTAATGTCATGTGATAATTGGTATCGATCGCCATTTGGTAATAATAATAAAACAAAGCGCCCAGTGGATAATATATATTTACATATTTTTATTCTTGAATAATAGAAATATTTTTGAAGATTGATAATTTAAAATAAAATTCTCACGGGGGCGGAGAGGGGGGGGGGAGTAATAAGTGTGTGTATAATTATGTACATACCAGGCATAGTTTTACTGTCATCTTTTCGTACAAGTACTACAGCGATCACTAGCCCAATAACAGCCAACACTAAGATAACCAGGAAAAATATTAATCCTTTTTCCAACTTGCTTCTTCTTGCCCATGGTCCTTCCTTCTTGAAACTGAAATGTAATTGACATGAATATTATGTATAGAAGTTTATGGTTACATAAAGTTTTTTTATGTCTTTGTACAGGGCTTACCCCTTTGTGGCGGTTGTACCACCAAGATATGTTTTAGGGGAAACTTTATTCTTACGTGTTTTATGACATTGAATAAAATGTGATGGCATTTTATAAAAAATGCACTTTATTCATTCAAACAAATCTCTTTTGTTTTCCCTACATCCATACTAGTCCGTCCTTGCTGTGACTCTCCCATGTACAAAATCATAAATAGCTTTACACACCCTTTGAGTGAGACTTAAAAAATGATTGGAGCACCACACTAAATATCGTATTCCGGTATATACCGGACAAGGCGCTTGAAGGTCTCACCCCGATACGGAATTAGACCCAACCCGTTGTAGTCTACAAAGTAGTTCTTTTAATTTTTGAAGCGGCTCAATTTAAGTTCTCTCTAGTCTGATTGGTCATACTTAAAGTGTATTTATTGCATGTGTGTAGTTTTTGTGTGTTTTGTGTTTGATTTTTCCAGGAACTCATTTGTTGGCGGAAGGTTTAAAAATGTATTACCCACCAGCAGACAGGAGTTTTCAAAGTGGTGAATCTAAACGGTGTTAAAGTTGAAGGTATGTATATAAAGTCAGTTCCCGATTCCTTATTCCTTTTTCGAATAAGGAATAAGGAATCAGTTCCTTATTCCTTTTTCGAATAAGGAATAGGGAACTAGTTCCTGATTCCTTATTCAAATCTAAATAAGGAACAGCAGAACTAGTATTTATTTAAAATAAAATTTATACCTCATTCAAATCATTGCATAAAGAATCTGCATAAATTATTTTGAAAAAAATGTTAAAATCGAATAAGGAATAGGGAACCAGTTCCTTATTCCTTATTCAACTCCGAAAAAGGAACAGAAGAAAATACGTAAACAAAGACACCAGTTGCAATTATTTTTGATAAATCTGCATTAGAATTGCAAGGATCAATCATTAAAATCATAAAATAAAGCATTAGAATAAAAATATTTTTGAAAAAAATGTTAAAGTCGAATAAGGAATATTATTCAACTCCGAATAAGAAACAGAAGAAAATAAGTAAAGAAAGACACCAGTTGCAGTTATTGTTGATAAATCTGCATAAGAATTGCACGGATCAATCATTAAAATCATGAAATGAAGCATTTACATAAAAAAAATTGAAAAAAAATGTTAAAGTCGAATAAGGAATAGGGAACCAGTTCCTTATTCCTTATTCAACTCCGAATAAGGAACAGAAGAAAATACCTAAAAATGGCACCAGTTGCAGCTATTTTTGATAAATCTGCATAAGAAATGAAATAAAATAAAGCATCTACATATTTTTTTTTTTTAAAAATGTTAAAGTCGAATAAGGAATAGGGAACCAGTTCCTTATTCCTTATTCAACTCCGACTATAACATTTTTTTCAAAATAGTTTATACTGCAATGATTTTAATGATTGATCCTTGCAATTCTAATGCAGATTTATCAAAAATAACTGCAACTGGTGTCTTTCTTTACGTATTTCCTTCTGTTCCTTATTCGGAGTTGAATAAGGAATAAGGAACTGGTTCCCTATTCCTTATTCGACTTTAACATTTTTTTCAAAACAAATTATGTAGATGCTTTATTTCATGCTTTCAATGATTGATCCTTGCAATTCTTATGCAGATTTATCAAAACTAACTGCAACTGCTGTCTTTCTTAACGTAATTACATCTGTTCCTTATTCGGAGTCGAGTGAACCTGAACATTTCTTTTTTCAAAAATATTTTTATACTAATGCTTTATTTCATGATTTTTATGATTGATCCTTGCAATTCTAATGCAGATTTATAAAAAAAATAACTGCAACTGGTGTCTTTCTTTAGGTATTTTCTTCTGTTCCTTATTCGGAGTTGAATAAGGTATAAGGAACTGGTTCCCTATTCCTTATTCGACTTAAACATTTTGTTCAGAAACAAATTATGTAAATGCTTTATTTCATGATTTTTATGATTGATCCTTGCAATTCTAATGCAGATTTATCAAAAATAACTGCAATTGGTGTTTTTCTTTACGTTTTTCCTTCTGTTCCTTATTCGGAGTTCAATAAGGAATAAGGAACTGGTTCCCTATTCCTTATTCGACTTTTACATTTTTTTTAATAATTGATGCAGATTCTTTATGCAATGATTTGAATGAGGTATACATTTTATTTTAAATAAATACTAATTCTGCTGTTCCTTATTTAGATTTGAATAAGGAATCAGGAACTAGTTCCTGATTCCTTATTCGAAAAAGGAACAAGGAACTGATTCCTTATTCCTTATTCGAAAAAAGAAATAAGGAATAGAGAACTAACTTTATGTACATGTTGAAGGTAGTATATAATTCATCAAGAACAGTGAAATTGAGAATACAGCCTCAAATGCGACTAATCTACTATAGAACTCAATACGAAAATTCACCATGCCGACATCTGAAATGCTAAAATTTCGCCTTTTCACCCGACGACTTCACACCGATTAATATACGATAATGATGAATGAAATATGTTATTTAAGTCTATTTCTGTAACACACTTTACACGTCACTTTAAGTTATTACTCGTACATTTATAATTAATAAACTGTAATGTTATTTTATTTCTGTATACATTAAATATATATACGCCCGTGATTCGTCTTATTATCATGATTTAAAGTATATGTAGTTTGAAAACTGCCTCGTTTTGAAATATGCATAAGTTTTTGATTGAATACATTAATTTTTAAACCAGCTGCGCCCATGCTTCACCTCTAATAAGTGAGTGAAATGAAATGGTCATGAAAATAAAAACACTCGGAGAGTTTCAATTTTAGTTAGAAGTCACAGTCTCTTGGTTGAACATAATTGTATCAATTATTTACAAGTAAAGGTATATTTTTGAATAATAAAGTCATGACTTCAATTATTTTAAAAGTAGACAATTAATGATTTTAGTTACATTTGGTCTACGCAATGGAACTGTTACTAATATTTGTCCATTTCCTCCTGTTAAAATTGATTAAACTAGAGCTTCTTGTTTTTGCTGTGCGACACCCCAAACCCTAAAATGTTCCTGCACGAAGATTGCGCATGCGCGAAAAATGCTTCATTCGGTCCGTTTTTTTTATACCAACGGGTCACATCGTAAAAAAATCACCTAAAATAAGATTTTTAGCTGAGACTTACAGATAAAATATCTGAAATAAATGTCTGCACGGGACAATATGAATTATTTTGGTAAATCGACTTTAAAAATCTGTTTACTTTTCATGCTTTTGCGCATGTTATATACACAGGCAGGGGAGTTGCCGATTAATTACGCACGTCTGAAAGCATGGAGACATGGTAAGGCCAAACGATGAGTGAAATTGTCATAAAAATAAATACATGTAAAACAGACGGATAAGTAAAGTTAGTTGTTTGAAATTTTTTGTGTAAAAAGTTATCTCACTAGAACAATTAATAAAAGCTGATTTACCAAAGTTAATGCTGTAAGATTTGTTTGAAATACTGCAATGTCAATGGACAAAATAATTTATTAACAAAGTTAATCTATCATTAAACTCATAGGCAGGAATATCCGATAAATTCATAGACATATTTGATAAATATAGCGGCATAAATAATAGAAAAATTCTGCAATCAAAATTTACCCATAAATTCATTGGCAGATAATGAGATATGAATGAGAGAGCCGATAAATTCATAGATAGAAATTAATCGGCAACTTTTACCTATTCTGGAAGTATCGATTGTTTGAATAGCGATAAATTTCCAACGGCAAAAAGGTGTTTTTCTGTAACTGGCATAAATCTTTTAATTAAATTAAAATGGCACTAACAAACATTTTACAGTTAAATTGTATATTTTCGATTCAATAAAATGACGAATATAAAATATCAAATGCGCACCAAAGAGTTCTACATCCTTTTGCTCAAAATTGAAATGTAAGGTACATGATCAAATTCGAATCACTTGCCAATTTGTAAATCATGTTATTACATGAAATAATTCCACGCGGAAAATATTTTTAGGTCTTTCATTCTGTACCAAAAAAAATTCACCAAAAAGAAAATAAATATTAAAAGAAAAGAGAAAAAGAAAAAAAAAGAAAAAAAGGAAAGAAAAGGAAAAAATAATGAAAAAATAATGAAAAGAAAGACCATTGATTTTGAAAATGCATGATAATTTTTTTACGATAATTTTTGGGGAGAAAAAAAGAATAGCCAATACCTTGTGTAGTTTACGTCTCCATTTGTAATTTCTGCGTCGTCAGACACCGGGAATTTTTTACTAGCTTTATTCATTATTTATTTTAAACACAATCTTAACTATATCCATATCGTGTTTTCACAACCTAATTTTATAATAATTTATCCGTTTGTCAACAAATGAAATATTTTCTTTGGCAAATAATGTTATTTGCTATTTTTAAACAAAATTTATTTAAACCACTGTCCACTGTTTTGATATATAAAATAACCAATTGCAAAATAAATATATTTTCCTAAATTAACCCTTTTTGACGATTTTTTTTCAAAAGTCGCGACTTCACACTTCACACGTGAACAAGATTATAATATGTTACTATATTTTTGACAGAGGCGTACGGAAGATGGTCGTTATTTGTGAACGGACATGTATGTCCCTTGATCGGCACGATTGAAATGCCATACGACCTTTCTAACTCGCAGTGACCCGTGCATGTAATGATTATAACAGGCCACAAATGTCGCCGTTTGGAGATATGATATCTTAATTTACCGACGAGTAAACACACATGGGTATCATTACCTGTCGTGTAATAATAAACACTGTACTGCCTAATGTTTCTTCCACTAATTTACTAATTCCGAAGTCTACAATTTAACTCTATGGTAAACTCATTACAGATTCCGACCTCCTTGTCTAATTGTAGGTTCATGTGTAATTAGCAAAAGCAAATAGATTGCGCAGTAAAAAATGGGTAATTTATGCAAGATTTTATCATTTTATTATATCCCTGCAGTAAATATTTTTATGACACACATATTTATACGCGTGATACAGCTCCCTAATAAATTAACAGTACACCGGTAATGCCAGTAATAAAATCTATAAATCTACTATATTTCATTTAATCTACTCGAATAAAAGAAATACACTCCTTTATAAATCCATCACTTGCTTAAAACCTGCTTATTTTAGAGAATAATTTTTCCCGGGAGTTTTCTCAGCATTTTTCTTTCTTTATAAACTTGCCGTTTTGTTTTATTTCGCTCGTCCATTGTAAAGTGTGTATTGATTAACCTTTGCTCTCACAACCTGCATGGTCATTTACAAACTTTCACATGGTGTTAAATTATGACAGATCATTTACTAATGTTTCTAAATTCATACAGTAAGCAGTGTTTGCATTTTTTGCGGTAAAAAATGAAAATATTTTGAAGTAGTCGTAAATCTTTAATAGTAATAAAGAAGTAACAGCAGCAGACGTTACTGTTGTTGTTGTTGTTTTTTGCATAAGTTTAGATTATACTAAAAGTTTTATAAAATTCCTTCAATGATTTTTGTATACTTTAGGTCACAACATTTTAATTTAGGGCTTTAGTGTCTACATTTTAAATGTTTTGATTTTCTCTTTAGCTTTCCTTGTAAGAGACTTATATGTACATAACAATTTCCAAAACATTTTCTGAATTTATAAATAATTTATCTCGTATCAATCAAAATGTTTAAACATATTTATTACTTCTATACCCCTTCAATTTTTTGTAATGTTAATTTCCCATAGGCCATACTTTTAATGTAAGAGTACCACGTGGCCAGAAATGTAGATAGATCTGACGTGACTAAGAAATATGTGCAGTTACATAGGTAACAGTACTTTTTAACATCTTAAAATCTGGAAACGTGGTTTATTTTCTAAAAAAAATGAATATTAAAATGGCCGCAATTTTTTCTCTCGATTCGACCTCTTATAAATGGGCATCATCAGTAACAAATTTAGTTGTTTTCACCCTTTAGTGCTTTTCGCGTCTTAAGGCAGCACACCACACTAATAGAAGCCACAGCTTCGAATGGCCTCGAAAGGATTTCATGGATATAGTGACTATTGTGGATTTAAATGACTGGTTGTCTTTAACCCATTACTTCATATACACGCCTTTTTCACCCCCCCCCCCATTTTTGTTGTCTCAAATGATGAAAAAATGCCTTATTTCGGCCCCAAACACTTGTTTTTGTTCGAGAAATGTTGTAAAAAAAGTGACCTCTTTTTCGGCGCGGCCCCCCAACCAAAAGATACATCAGGGGGGTTGCCAGAAGGGGGATGTGCCCCCTTCTGTTTGGGGGGTTTGAAGGGGGGCGGAGTCCCCCTCATCGCCAAGAAAATTTTGGACTTGTGAGAGGCTGTAAATGACCCCAGATTGATCATAAGGTATCGTGTAACCAACGCTGAAAAGCATTTGACTCTATCTCAATCCATTGAGAAGTTGCAGCACTTTGAAATCAATTTTGATGGAAAAAATCAACGCAAAATAGTGATTTTTGGCAATTTTGAGATGTCCCCTCGTTGCCATGGTAACAGAAAATTTAAGCCTGAGCATGTTGTTGCAAGGGCAATGGTCCAGTCAACATTTGTGCCAAGTTTGATTAGTGTTGAAGCAGTTTTTATAGTATTATAGCAATTTGAACTTGTAACGGGAGACTTTTCAATGAAAACAGCCATTTTTCACAAAATGCTCATGAAGTAATGGGTTAAAGTGCATTTTCAGCATGAAAATTGTTTTTGTGACATGTAATATGATCATTGGCAAATTCGAAAACATGGTTAGAAATCACATGCTGATAATTATAGATGTCAAGGCCGCCATTGTTTGTAAACATTGCTTTTAAACAGCATGCTCGGTGAAAACAAGTAATTTTACAGGGGGGTACAAACTTTCAGCAATAGCAAAAAATCTACAAGGCCAAGCACCTATTTCTTTGTGATATTTTGCATGTATATGGAGTTGCTAAAGCAGTGACAGAGTTTCTGAAGCCCGTATTTTTGCAGGTATTTTTTGCCGGCGGGACGAAATATGTTGTTTTGGGTCTCGGACCACTATGGATTTTTGGCTTTTACGGAATGAATTGGATTTTTTTTTAACTGCCTGACTGTTGCACATGGGATGATTTCATGACATATTTGCAATGTTATGACATATATGTTCTTAACAAAATGTGTTTTCTTTTTCCAGGTTGTGTAGTTTGGGATCAGATTTATAAGACATATTGCTTGTAGGACATTGACGGCAGAAACTTGAATTTTAGTGCGGAGTGCTACCTAAATGGTAAAAAACAAACCCCAAAACATCCGTTTTCACCGGAAGTCATTGCATGGGAATAATCGGTGTCTAAATGGAACAAGCAGACGATTAAAGCATGCAGCAAAAAATATTTAACGAATTTAATAGGTTAACAAAACAGGTGTGGTAGACAATCGCAACTGTTCGGCCCTTTCCGTTAGTTATGCGGCAAAAAAGTAAGAATACACAGAACGGATATGGCATTTCCGCCAATATTTTTACCAATATATCGAGTAAAAGACCGCCAATATTAAGTAAATTTACAGATATAACAGTAATTAGAACATTATTTATATACTTATTGTTATGATTGAAGAAACCGAAAGTACAAATTGTCTACCTGTTGACATTTATTTGGATTTGGGTATAATTGTACACCAGTGAGCATTTTAAATTGATTATGATTGACAGACATAAGTTCAAACATTAAAGTAATTTTCCAATGAATGTTAAAAACATGTATATACATTCGTTATCAGTATTTTCCACGGGATGATACTTTTCCTGTTACCCACAAACCTGTGTGTTACTTATATAATAAGCTCGCGTACTTTAATACATTAACATTATTATCATCATTAAAAACTATGGAGGGCAATCTGGAACATGTACAGCTATCGGCATGGTCGTGGGATCGAAAACGCTGACACACAACCAAGTAATATTTTTAAGATTCATTGTTAATTTTTTAAAGAAAAACACTTTTAACCTTGTTTAATTTTAATTTTACTTTTAGCTTTGTGTTGGACACTTTAAGGCCATTGAGTATGCCTGTAGAACAAGTCAAATAAAGGGATGTCCCATATATATGAACCAACTTCACAAAAAGTTGACAAGCTAGGGTCAAGACCGGATGGACCCTCATTAAGACTATAATACATAAATAAATATATATTTGTACCAAATACTGCCTGGTTAGCTAAAAAGGACTGATAATCGGGCTACCCGGGTTTCGATCCGCGAATAGTATAGGTCATTTGAATTGCGATTGATCATAAAATCCGTTATACGGCCATTCGCACTGTACCTCTGCTTTGGCATGTACAGAAGTTAACAGTTCAGCGAAAGTGAAGGCAACTATACTGGTAACTATTTGACAGCCTGTCCAAGAATGATGCAGTGGCTGAATTGTGCTCTGGTAATTTCAATGTGGCGTACTGTCGTGACCCGGAGTGTAAACTACCAACACCACCACGATTATACACCAGTATAAATGGACAAATGAAAGTTGGGGCAGAAAATCCTAAATATTTTTTTGTTTTCTTACTGCAAAAATCAGAAGCATATCTGACTTGTGATTACCGGTATTTTGTTGTGTTTTCGCGTTTTTTTTGGCACGAAAGGGCGACCTTTATTAGACTTTACCAGTGTTAATAGTTTATGCAAATTTGCTGGCCGGATATCCAATTACTACACCAGGATAATGCATAGTCACTACTTGACCTGGTTTACACAAAAGATAACGCGTTTTTTGTTTGTGACATTGCATTAATAAAATGGCGGTGGTGTTGGTGGTGTTGGTAGTTTTTCAACCGGATCACGGCAGTAAGCCACATTGAATTTCCGAAAGCACGATTCAGCCACCGCATCGTTCCTGCAACGTCCGGGAATCGATCCCTAGGCCGCCCGATTTACAGTCCAACGCTCTACCTATGCGGCACGACATTGATAATAAGATATGGGTGAATCTTCGCCTTATGAGTAAAATGTCATAAATCTGCCACCATAGTTTATGTTTGCGTATCCTCATATCTTACATATCGTTATATCTTGCTACTTTATACATTTTACATTCGGTTTCTACCCGGATTGAATATAAACAAAAACCATTTGAATTGATGGTTTGAAATGACACGTTAGTTTAACAATATTTTTTATTTCTATTTATACAACATAAATTTATACAGTAAACATATATATTTCGTGGATTGGAAAACAAGTCAAATGTGACTTATGTAAATTCCTTTCGTTGAAAGTAAAAAAAAAATGGATAATGTACAAATGTATCTTATGTTATGCATCAAAATACATTAAATATAATTTGCCACGGTTTGCATAAATATACGAGTAAACTTAATTTGTTTAGCTTGATATATGTCTTAGAAATGCTTTTATTTTACAAAAGTCTTTTATTTTTGGTGTCCTTTTATAAAATAGTTCCAAAAAGTTACTCATTAGCCAATTACCTAAACCACCTCTTTTGGGAAATAGTACAGTTATAGTGATTTGATATTTTGTTACAGTGATTTGAAGTCACAATAGTTCTTTGTTTACATTTTACTACTTTTATTACGAATAATTTCCACATCACATTTATCGCTACTTTCTTCAGGTAACAAGCATCTAGCGATATCTAAATATAACAAAACTCGTGTTTGCCC